CATATACTTATTTTGAGGTTTTTGAAAGATAATACCTACGTCACTTTAGCTAGTCAATGTAGCTCCCGTGCGTTCGCCAATACTAAATGAACGCAGCTGCGACGAGAATAATGTTATGTATCCGTATTATCATTATTAAATCGGTACATTCTTCGATATTATAATGCTTATGTGTGTGTGTGTTTTGTTATAGGCCTGACGCTATTTGACCGTATAGTGGTTCAACGGCCATCTCCTGTTCGAGATTGTGTTCATTAATCATGTCTGTGTGTTTGGCCGATGTTATGCGTTCGTGTAGCTATATATATATACACAGCATATACTATATATTACCTATATAAACACACACACACACGCACACACCCACACATACCTATGATAGTGAAATGAGTTCTTCTGTTCTGCCGTGAGTCACCAGAAACTGATGAGAAATTTACAGAAAACTTCACTTTATCTCTCTTTTTCGTTCCTAAGCAGTTTTCCGCGATAATCCCCAAAGATGAGAATATTGAGAATATAATGTTATACGTATCGGTACCAGATATGTGAATTTTCAAATATAATCTATCATTATAATACACAATTATTATAGTTATAAAGCTATAGTATACAACACAAAGCATCATTTGCAGTGTTTGTTCTGTATCTGTATACCGCTCTATCAATAAAGCTACGAGACCCATACGAGATTTTCTAAGTACCACCGTTTTATYTCTACACTAAAACACAAAGATTTTTTGAAATTCAATAAGACTTATGCAAAATAAACATTTATGACAAAAGTATAATTACTGAACGATCCTCAAGAGTCAAGAGCTTTTCTGAAAATCGATTAATTATGAAAAAATTCAAAATATTCGAAAAAAGTTTATCATAATATTAAAAAGTCAACTGTTCCACAAATTTCACCGAACTTGCCACTAACGCCAATATCATATGTGTGAACTCGGTAGTTTTAAAAATCTTAGTTGAGTATCAAATATGATACCTACTCAATTTTTAGAGTTTCTTGCATGGGAAATTTTCTAGTTACAAATAAATAAATAATCTCGAAAAATTGCAACGTTTATATCATGTAGTAAAATTTGCAAATATACTTATTCAGGACGATATTTGAAAGTTTTACGTGTTTAGATACGATATTCCTACACAAAGTATAGTCGACTTGTTAAATATATCAATAGTGATTGTTAGCAACGGAAAAAACAAAATAACCGTTTGGCACACGAATCTTAAGACTTAAATTAAGATACGCATTTAATAGAATTTATTCGTTCCCAGCACTTTTTAAATATTTTATTAAATTCCTGCAGAGGAGTTATTTATAATCACTGAAATCTTAGCAAAGGTTCATATAGTGTTAATAATTAACCAACTGTTTAGAATATAATTAATTAATTCAATATTGTGTTTTATGCGTCTAAGTCGAATCTAAATGGTCACAATTGTTTATCGTCCATTAATGTTGTTTACTGATTTGTAAATCGTAAACATGTATAATATAATGAACAAAAACGTTTCAAAGGAGTCTAAATATACAACCTCAAYTGTTTGCTCGTCAATGGACATATTTATTGGCTTATCAACTTTTCTTAGTGACTCTACCAGACCATACACAAAAAAAAAACTAATGTAAAGGTCAAATTGTAAAATGTTTATGACTCAAATATAGTTAACAGTCGCATTTTGGTGCAGGATCTTAAAAAATAGGTCATAATAATATTCAATGTAGGTAGCAAGCAAAAAAATACACTATAACATTTACTGTGGTAATAATAATAATTATTACTTAAGTACGAACAAGGGTGTTAAAGAGAATATATTAAATTTGTACTATACATATATAATATATTAAATTTATTACTGCATATCGAACTGTTAAAAATCATGTTAAACCAAAGAATAATACTGAAAGTCATCATTTTGTTTATCTGACGTAAACAATGYCATTATGCAAAGTATTCGGGGAACAAACCGACATTTTATGATATAAACTTAAATAATTTAAATTATAATGAATAATGACAAAAGTATATATTCTAGGTGAAAGTTTAGGTCAAATTCTCTATATTTCACTAAAATAGCACGTAGCGAGAACTAAAGCACTCGAATAAACTAAAATATTATTGTAKCACATAATTTTATACGCACACACACCACGATGTGTATGATAGGATAATATGATATACACTGTGTAGTGTGTATAATACACAAGTCATACAACTGGTACCCATATAATTACATATTTATTATTTAAGTACTTGTATTCATCATTCAGTTGTTTGCAGTACAACTTTACAATGTATCAGCATTTATTATCGTATAATATTATATTTGTCAGATTATAATATAAATAATACATTTAGCTCTATAAGTATCATAATATATAATTATACTAATAGCCAACCCACTCTCTAACTTAAATTTCAAGTAGTAACAATAATTATTAGAACTATATTGTAATAATTGCATGTCTGAATTGCGGTCACACTTATATTACCTATAACATCTACGGATATTTCGGTTATGTCATTTATTATTAATTTATCATTTATTTCGTCCTCTTTATTACGTTATATTGTTATACGTAGTGTGTATTGTGTAAAACTTGATAATCGAAACGTTTATAGTTTGATCATCAGTGTCAAATAAAAATCTACAATTCTAAAATTTAAAAATCTCAAATAGCAAATATATATATTCGAAAATCAAAGACATGTCACATTTGTACAAATAACAAAGAAAAGTGAGTATCAAACCGTAAAGAAAGTAAAATCGTTGCAATATAATATTTTATCGAAATATAAAGTATAAACACTATAAACTACAAATGAAAAAATCTGAACTCAATATAATAATAATAATAATTAAAAATAAAATAATTAAGAAATAATGTGAATCTCCATTATATGATACTTCCTACATTAGCAGACAAAATCTAAAAGCTTGTTCGCGAACACGAGGAGTGGCTAAATAACAATGTCTATCAATATTCTATTTGCTATCCAATTATAAGATAACTCCGCGATATCGGAAATTTTAAACGTCTGAAACTTTATAGTTTAAGAATTTAGATCAAGCGCAGGGCCACGTCATTGTAAGCGCGATTTCATCAAGACACGTACCTATATGTATACCTATGTCATATTTTTAATTTCTAGTAAGTATATACATTTTATGCAAAATATATACAATTGTAACATATTTAAAACTTCTGGGTTATTTAAATAGCTAATACAGATAGCTTAAATGCACCATTATATATATATATAATATTTATGACATTTGTGTTTTAATAAATATCAAGAAAAACCTTGAAAATTAAACGAACGCAAAAACAAAAAGTGATATAATTACAATAATATATGGAAAAATCAGAGATCAAGATGTTAGTCTAAATTTTTATTCAACGTATATTTGGATAGATCCATCATATAATTAACATGCACTTGTTATTATACTATWTATTTTTAAAGTTGTCCATAATTTATAAGTTTTTGGTAGAGATTACTCCATTTAAAGTGTTCATCATTAAGACATTGATTATCCGACATATCATTATGTTTTAAAAACGTATCACACAATTTACTTGCAATTTCGTACATTATATCGTCATCGATTTCACCACAGTCTTTGTCAACCACCTCAGATTTTAAATCAGTGTGAATTTTCTTAGAAAWGTTTTCTGATACCTCAGATTTTTTCTTCGCTTCAAAAAGTCCATTGACGTGGTTAGCGATTTCTTTTGCTCTGTGTCTCACCCACGGAGAACCATATTCTATATTTTCTGACCAGTGAAATCGATGTTCTGAATTATAGTTTGAGTGTATTTCTAAAGATGGGTTACGTTCTTCCTATATTTAATGCAGTACTTTTGATCATACTATATTTCTCAAAACTTAAGAAAAATATCTTAAATTTTAAAATATTCATAATTAATTTATACTTAGCTTGGATAATTGGATATTGAATGATGTTATATATTAATTAATGATTAATATCTATATTCAAATAAATTATTATATAACAAGATGATAATAATTACTCGAGATTCCAAATTATCTAAAAACGAATCCGCAGTAGTCGAACATTCTGGGAAAAATGTATCAAAATTGGTGTTTTGACTGTCTGTGGACGAACTGTTAGAGTCAAAATATGAATGGCCATATTTTTGCGCTATGGTTGGATTTCTTAACCTATTAATAAATGGATTGTTATTGAAAAAATCATCAGAACTTGTGTATTGTGACGAATAATATGAATTCAATGGCTTTTGATTTGATTGAAAAATAGTTTGATGAGTACTTTCGTCAATAGGTTGACTGTGGAGCGATATATGCGTAGTTGATAATCGTTGAAATGGCTGAAGTTTTTCGCTGGAAATCTTGAGTTTTGAAGAACACAAAGATGACCGTTTGTTTAATCGCATATCATTAATACTTTCATAGTTTTTYTTATGTTTATTGGGTATTTTTTTCAAATTATTCTTACGGTTCCACTGTGGCGAGTACACTACTTTCGTAAACGTGGTTGAACTGTTGGCTTCATCCAGTAAATCTCCATCATTGAATTCGTTTATAGAATTTACAGTTACCATTTTAAAATTGAAGTATCTTTAATTTATCTTCACTATGTTGATGATAATATTATGTTGAATAATAATTATTATGGTTATTATATAGTCATTATTAGTATTAATCTACATGGAAACAAATAACAATATACAGGATATTTATCTTAATAGTTTCGAGAATATATATGATCATTATTATGAGAATTTCCTGTTAAATTGAGTATTTTATTTTTCATAAACTATTTCAATTGAAAAATGCTCAAGAAAGTTTTTTGAATTTAATACATTTTCAAATAATTTTAGGTGTATATTAGCTGTGTTGCATACAGCGTACTTGAGGTTTTTTTTTT